ACAAATTAAACCTCTCCTCCTTTAAATTGCAGGTGTCATGTATTTTGTCCCAACAACAGGAAAACTGGCTAGTACAGAAAGGTTGAAGAAAAAGTATTTAATTAAAAATACTCCAGAATCTATCACTTGTATATTATCACTATTGTCATTTTACTTTCACCCTTTTTTCTCAGTATATATGAACACATATTAATCTCATTTTTGTTTTTAAAATACCTACCATACTACTTTGTAACCAGCTTTTTGCCCTTAGGAATATGTTACAAATGTCTTTGTATAGCAACGTAAGGTTATTTTTGGTCATTGTTCTTCTCTTATGACTCCCTGCCTCTCTCAATTTCTACTTTTTTGTTTGTTTTGTTTGCAGTGTTGAGGATCAAACTTAGAGCCTCTTGCCTACTGGGCAAGCACACCACCAACTGAGCTACAGCCCCATACTTCAATTTCTGTTTTTTATGAATACAACTTAGTATAGCTCAGGGATTAGTCATCACAATACCTTTTGTGAGGGTAATCATCATAGTTTTTCAACAACAACAACAACAAAAAGGAAATCATTGAATTATAATTACTCTTACCAAAAGATAAAGAAGCAATTATGTATTCTTTTGATATTGGTGACATTTGTCTTTTAAATTCACCATTTAAGAAACTCATTGCAAAGGTCAATTATATCAGAACTGTAATTGTGCTAAGGTTTAGATACACCTGGGTCCTACCTATTCCTTATCTTCACTGACAAGGTAATGAATTTAGTGGGAGAGATCAACAGTTTGCTTGACAGTACCAAAGGATCTGCGCTGTCCATATACTTCCCTACGTTGCAGCCTTCTCCCCATTGCCCACCCACCCAAAGAAAAGGGAAGGTGGCAAAAAAAGCTAGCTCATAACCAACATTGGGAAGGATTGCAGAGTTGCTACTTCTAGTTCCCTGGACTCTTTCGATGTTACTCAAAAGATTGACAGATAGTATATGACACTGCTGTAGAGTGCAATTTAAACATGACACAAATTGAAGAAAGCATTTTTGCATTTGCATATATAGATAAGCTGTGCTGCTATTGTTGCAACTGCCTGAAATCAGAAATTTTACTCCTGTTTAATGCTCTTAAAGATGACTAAAGTAAACTTTATAATATTGATGTTGACAGTCCTATAATTTGAAATTATGTTTCAGGATATAATAATTCAATGTTTCATTGTGCTTAAAATAGTCTTTCATGTGCTTTAAACTAAAGCTTGCTTTCTTCCAAAATATTTGGGCACATAATTTTAAAAGCACTGTAATCTTGGTTTCCATTCTATGCCCTTCATCTACCCCAGACTTTTACTGGATCTAGAAGTATAGAAGAATAATACCGAGATTTATTATGTTTCAAATTCTCTTCTAAATGCTCTATATATTTACTAAATACAGTGGAAAATAAAAGACAGACAACAGGAAAAACAGAGAGAAAAGTTATTGTAATCCAGAATGGCCAATGTACCTAAAAGTGTACTTTGATTTAGTATAATTATAATTGTTTTATGTGTTTTATATGATTTTGACCTGTTAGTCTAGCTGTTAATCTTTATAATTAACTTGACAAAGAATAAAATAAAATGAATAAATGAATCTGATGCTTGCAGAAAAGAATTTTTTGAGAAAGGGGTAGAGGGAAAGGGGAAAAAAAAGAATTAAGATATATTATGCACATGTACGAATTCCGCATGATGAGTATAATCATTATATACTGTAAACATGTACTAATAAAAATTAAAAATTTTAAATGCTCTATATATTTACTCATTAGAGATGGAAGTGATATGGCCAATAGTGCCATTATTTGTTTGATATTACTTGACAGTTAAGCTTAATGTCATTCTGAATTCAACATATATGTTCCCACGCTTAGAGCCCTTCAAGGATCAGAACTCAGTAATGTTGCCCTTAGTTGACTCAATGAAAACTTCTTTACTGGTAAGTAAACTGGTAAGGTAGTTTACCAGTCATAGTGGTTTAAAACATGGAAAATATTTTATTATCATTTTAAGTATTAGAATGAAGTAGGGCTGGGTACAGAAAATTTCATAAAGTAATTAGTAAATTTCAGATAGAGGGAAAGGTCCATGTGAAGATGACAAAAACAGCATGAGCAAAGATTTTTCATCAAAGTTTACAAAAAACATGTTTACATGCCTAATTATAAATAGTAAGATCTGCATTTCTAATAGATCAGAATTTTAGAACTAGAAGAGACCTTAAGGAATCATCTTTTATAAATCCTCTTATTTCATAGTTGAGGAAAACCATAGCTCAGAGTTGATTTTCCCCAAGTTTCTCAACAAAAATTAGTAGTAGGCCCTGAAAGGGAATCTAGATCCCCTGGCTCCTGGGATTCTTCCCTGTTTCCTCACAGTTCTTCATCTGTTGGGCTTCCAGGATGACTAACACTGAGACTCTTGTGACCTATTTTCTTTTTCCAGTAGAAAACATTTGCTTCCCTTGGGCCTCAGAACAGAAGCCCTTAAATCCTCCTCATAGTTGCTCTTGTTTAGTGCACCAAGAGTTTGGTGAAGAAGTCTCAGGAGGTCTGGGAGTTTAGGCCCCTGTATTCTCCTTCGGCAGCAATTATCCTTTCTGGCACTTTTGTTAGCTTGCACAAATCACTCCTCAAGAATCAAAATAGGGGAAATGTTATTAAGCAAGTGCTTTCTTTCTTTCTTTTTTTTGGTACCAGGGATCAAACTTGGGACCTTGTGCTTGCAAGGCAGGTGCTGGAACCACTGAGCTAAATCCCCAGCCCTGCTTTCTTATTTTTAAATACAACAGGTAACCAAACAGGTGAATGTCTGAGATAAACCAAGTAATGAAAAAAAAGATCAGCTCATTAAACAATATTACTAAATTATGAGTGGTAAGTGGCTTATGGCCCTGTGTTCTTTCTAGAAGTACTTACAATTTTAAAGGAAGATACTTAAACATCTCTTTTCTTGGTATGGTATGATTTTTTAAATTAATAAACATTTCAGGTAATGGGAAGGGATTTGCTTGTGTACTGGATAAGTCATCCTGGCTTAAGACCCATTCAGCTCTCCTAGGCTATTCCCATTTTTCCTAATATCTTCCCTTCTTCAGTTTGTTATCTCAGAGAAGTCCAAATCTTTGTACTTAATAGTTGTCTTGCCTGTGGAGGTGTATTCTAAAGTATGGCCACTTGTAAGTGTAGGTCATTTATAAATTATGAACTCTTAGGTCAGGTCTGCCAATTTTTGCTAATGGCATTAAGAGAAAAAGAATTAGAGAGCAAAATGGTTATGTTGCTTCTACCTAGTCTGGAATTTCAGGAAAGAAAGAAACTGGTTATCCAGAGCCAGATCTACCGGTAAAAGTTCATGCCATCATTTTGACATTTTGTGTTGAACTTTCTCTTTGTAAATCCCTCTTCACTTTATTCATGCTAGTCTCAGAACTCAAACTGTTTCAAAACCATAACATTTCTTAGTGAGTGATTGATCTGTATTATATGTCCAACCATCAGGGGGATCTGGGGATGTTGCTTATATAAACTGTAATCCAATCCAGTGCTGTGCATTTAGTTACAGTCTTTCATAGACCTTTTGGTGATACTCAATCCTCCTGGATTTGGAACTAGGGCTTATCTGATACCTTGAGGGGGGGAATCCATTCATTTTTCTCTCTTCCCGACTTAAATAACTCAACACATCTGGTAACACTGTAGGATCATTGTCCTTCTAGTTCCTCTGCAGCTCATATTGCTACAATATTTCTTAAGTATTTAGTTACCTAAAGGACAATGTGATTAAAAAAAAACTTGGTATAGGTTTTACAAATGAGCCCATCTACAGAGGTAGAAAAAAAGTATGCCTTTAATCAGTAAAAATTTGCATATCAGCAGCCCTATGTATGTTACACAGTATGAATGTAAATAAAAAATTGGAGATAAATACTCATTTGTTAAATTTTAAAGCAAGTCTTTCTACAAATTAATATAATTTGCCTCTAAGAAAATGTTTATTAAATAACAACTACCTGAGATTAAAGTATCTTGTTGTTTGTGTCTGTATCCTTTGGCTTAATAATGTCTTCAATTAGAAGAATGATAAAAGCTGAAACAAAATCCTTTAATTTAATCAGAACTAAGCTAAATTTTAGGAAGCAAAGAGTAGAAATCAGATACAAGACTGCATAATGTAGGAAGTTAAATATACCAGATATTAAGACTTCGTAAGAAGCGGACAGGGTTGCCTTGAGGGATCCTTGTTTGAAATGCTGCCTGGAACATTATCATTAATAGCACTGTTTTATCTTCTTGGATTAAGACACTTTATGCAAACAACTGTAAATTATGCAGTAGTTCCAAAGAGACCATTTACTGTTTTCTGCTTGTTTTACATTCTGGAACAAGTTCAAAGCTTTTGATTTTGTTTGATTTTCTTTTTTAAATAGTCTGAGCCTTGAAAATAATACAGGTTAGATAAATAAGATCTTAGTATTATAGTTCTGTAAAAATTTTTAATGTTTATGGTACATTTGACCCCGGGGTCCTAAATCAAATATATCCACAGTGCATTTTAAGTACAACAGAATGAACACATTTGAAAGATTAGCCATTCTCTTGCTGTTGCTTTTCTTTTTGTATTAAGTATGTAGATTAGCCTCATAATGGCTCCCACAATGAGAATCCTGAAAAAGTATCCACCTGACAGAAATAAACATGCAGAAAATAAATTGAGTTAAGATTTCATTCGTTATCTGAAATTTAGCTTATTTTCAAAATGGTTTTCACTGGATTTTCATGTATATTAGTTAAATGCTATGCTTATAAGGCATTTTGGCTTGAATTATGATTGAGAAAAATTGGATCACATCTTTAATATCCAGGTGGGCAATGCTGTTTGCCAGGATCTTCACACATAACTGTTGTTGTTAAGCACAGATCCTGCCTTCTGAAGCATTCTGAGATAAAAATGGGGCTAATTCTTTTCTTATTTTTTAGGTTGTAGAACTTATAGCAAGTGCTCTTATGGACTTGGTACAAGGCGTATACCATGAAAATTCTACTTCAGCCAAGGTAAAGGATTTCCAAATCATTGTAAAATCTTAGGTTGGAATGGCTCATGGCAAAACTAGAATTGATGAGCAAGTGTCATTCTTGTTTTGTGTTTAAACTGTACATGACTTTTTTTTTTTTTAGATTAGTGTTTTGGCTACAAATTCATAGCCATACGCTTAGTACACAGCAGATTTAGCCAATTAAAACAACCTCTTCTCCTCTGGCTGGATTCACAGTCTGTTGTCTGCAGCAGCTCGGTAGAGAGCAGGCTGCTTTTGGCTGGCAGTTAGTACAGTCACAAGGCAGGCAGGCGGGAAACTGGAGGATAGCTCCTGCTGAGGCAGCTAGACCCAGCCTTTCCCCAGAGGAGGGCCTGCCCATATCCCTGAGGAGTGGACCATGAGCTCAAGAACACAGCTGTTGGGGAGGTGGGGAAGAATGTCTTCTATAGCCATGATCCAGAATTTACTACCTATTAGAATCTCTGTGATAAGAAGTAGTAGAGTTGCACAGTTGGATTACTTTGATTAATTTTATAGGTCTAGAATTAAGGTTTTTGACTCATTTAGCAGGACATCTTGAGAAAGGCTAGGTTTTATTTCTTTTAAATGCAGTTATTTCATTTCCATAGGAGATTAAATGTGAAGTAATTGCTTCATTGACCACCACTATCATTTACCATGGTGTATACTGTTATAAGAGAGTCCTCTCTTAGGGCTTTATTATTCCAACTTCTTCTGTATTAGCAAGATTTCACTCAGTGCAAATTAGAAAAAAATATGCCTGTGTGCACAGCCTGAGCATTAACATTTCCATTTGAAAAAAGAAAGACAAATTTTACTAGAAGCAAATATAGGTCATGAGCAATTTGGATAAAAAATTTAAATTTTAAAAGTATAACCTAGGGAATCTGAATGGTTCAGAGAATGACTAGTGAAATATGAAGAAATGCACCTTGGACATCTGCTAACATTTGGTTCAGGGAACCACAGTTCCCAGTAGGCACAGCTAACTTCACCCGAGCAGCATGTTGGTATGTGAGGACCTCACAAGATGTGGCACCACAGAGGAGCCACTTCGCACAGTTTTTCAAAGACAAGCAAGTTTCTCTACTAGGATGCAGGGTTGAAGTCAGATGCATAATTTCTGATCTAGTTCCATTCATAGAAAGTCATCCTGTATATATAATATGATGAAGATGATGATAGCTAAGTTCCTAACTATGTAGCAAATAATTGATTTCTTCATTTAATCTTCATAGAAATCCTGAGAGGTGGGTACCATTCTATTGCTATTCCTGTTCACAGATATGAAAACTAATTAAATAATTTTAAAAGATTAAATAATTGTCCCAAAATCATACAATTTATTAGCTGACTTCCAACTCTTAACCTCTTATTCTATTGCTTCTCTATTTTAACAAAACTTGATTTAGTAGCATTCATCTGCCATACCTGAGGTCTTACCATATGATGATTACAGTGACCTATTTGTGCAATTGAGGCATTGTTTTCCCCTAGAATATTTTAAACTTGTTCAACTTAGTTCCATGTATTAGTATTTTATAGTTAAATATCTATAAATGTTTAAGTGAAAGCATTATTGTTGGCTTAGGCTCTTAATTTATCCACTCTTACAAATTATTTACTGTAACTAGCCCAGTTCATTAATAACTTTGTGAACATTTGTTAAGTACTTTCTACATAGCAGACAGACCTAGTAGTTGCAATAATAAGTGCTTATATAGCACTTTACAGTCATTTAAACATTTTTGTTCACAATCATCTAGGCTGAAAAAGGGTGACATTTTTTGGAATTCTCATTTTGCAAAGGAGAAGCCTAAAATTCAGAGATGACAGATGCTATGCTTTCCTAAGGTTAGGGTTAGGGAAAGCATAGTATCTGAAATTTGTTAATGTGTGTTTGAGTGTTCAGTCTGAACCCAAGTTTTTTGATTCCATGTTCCATGTTTTTTCTAATGTAATGTGCTGCTGCTTCCTGGGAGAGAGAAAAGAGGAAACAACAAAGACTTTAAAGAACTATTGATCCTACTGGAACAGCCACTGAGCAGGCACCATTTGCTGACTTTCTCACTAGCTAATAAAATTTTACTCAAAAGAATCTGTAGAGGGCCAGGGATTTAGCTTAGTGGTTCCACCACCTGCCTCACAAGTGGAAGGACCCGAGTTCAATCCCCAATACCAAAACAACAAAAAAAAGAATCTGTAGCAATCTTTGTTCACCTGGCCCCTTTTTCTGCCTCCTCCTCTAAACATGGCCCTTTAAAACACTTGACTCATTTTTTAAGCAGTTAAGTTTCCAAATACAGTATAGCTAAATCATTTAAAGAGTCATTCTTTTTAATACTGGAAACAGAAATGCATAGTTGAACTGCAGCAGTGAGACTGCTTCTTGCTGCCTCTATGTGGACCCCAGGTCCAATTTAGGTTAACCACATTTCTCTTCCTAACCAGAAAAATCCTGCACCACCTCCAAGTGTACTTGCCATTGCCATGACCTTTCACAGTTTGGTTTTGCTAACTTGGCCCAGGAATCACTTGAGAGGCAGGGATTGTGAGTACTACCCCGACATGGGGCACCTTCAAGGTCTGCATGTTCTGGCAGGACTGGGAAGCAGCCACAAATGGAGATCATGTGGGAAGTGAGGGGGACTCTGTGGGTCTCTGTTGCACAATATCTATAGTCCTGGGCCTATCCAATATACAGAAGAGTTATTGGTGATTTAAAATAAGCCACAAACCATTTCGTCTGTCTCGGGATAAGAGGATACAGTTGCGGTCTGTTTTCTACAGGGCAGCTTAATGCAGTGATAGAGAACAGGCAGTAGCTTTCTATCAGGTAATGTATGTGTGACAAGGGTAGATGCATTAAAGCAAAGCTAGAGGAACTGCAACTAGATACATTAGAAATCACCTGCTCTAAGAGAAGTTTGTAGTTACCTAATTCTCCTTAAAGCCATGCAAATGTATGTGACTTAAATTGCTAGTACTGCACAGAGTAGGTGAATTGTGATCATGAAAACAAGCAAAATAATTTAGGAAATCCATTCTTTATTCTGTCCATTGAAAATATTTTTATTCTTGCATTTGCTATTTTGTGTTCCATCTCTTCCTTACAATAAAAATTAGTCATTGTGCTTTTTTTAGTGTTTATTTAAAAAAAAATCTTCCCTCCCTGTATCTTTTTTTCTATGCTAGCTAATTGAAGAAGCATATTAAGTAGAAAAATGGCATTTTAAATGGTTATTTGCCATTCTAAGAGTCCTCAGTTAAGCCCTGCCTCATATATTATACTGTATTTGCTAAGTATTTTTACATTTTAACAAAATTTACTTTGGATCCACAGACCAAAATATCGAAAATATTTTAACACAATTATGTTGTTGTTATTATTGTAACTTATTTTTTTATTGAAAAAGTAAATATATGTTCATTAAATTAAAAATGAAACTACAAAAACAGTCAAGACAAATAAAAATTATTTTATATACCTGTCCCCCAGAAATGAATTGATATTTTGTATACTTATTTCTAGATTCATTGTTTTTCTCTTATTATTGAGTTGACTTGAGATAAATAACTTAATATCTTGATTTACCTTTTCATCATTAAATTTTCAGATATAATTTTAATGAATATTTAATATTTCTTCATATTACTGTTCTGTAATTTATTGAACCATTTATTCCTCAATTCTTAGATTCCTGTTTACATCTTTTAACTAACTTAAATAATATTGCTGTTATATCTTAGTGTATATAATATTGCTGTTTCATACTGTTGGCTTTAAAAATTCCTGAAAATGAGATTCATGAATCAAAAAATATGGCTATTATCAATGTATCCCTGTGTGGAAGAGAGATTGTTTTTTTCCCATTAAGTTTATTGGTACATTTTTGGTATAAAATATAGTTACATTCATCATTGAGATCTTGTACCTTCACATGATGTATCTTGG